CCCACTCACCCCCTGCAGCAGCAGGTTCATTGCCCCGCGTGTCGGACCGACCCTTATTCACCCGCGCAGCAGCACCCCGTCACGCCAGTGGTCGATTATCAGTTTTCACAACTGCAGCAATCTGGATTCAAAAGTGTAGATTTGCATGTTGCCGATATGTTGGTTCGGATTATTGATTCCGATACCGCGCCAGTGATCGGTGCATGCGTGGTGTGTGAGGGGCGGCCGCCGCCGTTGTTGTCGACGAACCGTCGCTCTGTCCGTTATTTCTGCCATCCCTCCACTACAAAAACAAAGGTGCTAAGTCCTACATTTACTAAGGGTTTAGCGCCTTTACAAAGACACTAATCTGTAGCACCTTTAGGGCTCTGTAGTGCCTTTGTAGAGGCACTCAACTTTGAAAATTTCTCTAGCACCACAGGAAAGGCACCACTGAACCCCTTTGTTTTTCCAGTGTCCACGACGGTCCACGATAGAGTCGGGAAAAGAATATATCCGTCCCCCTTTTGATCAGATGAAACGTGATATCAGCATCATGGATATTGTCAATCAACGTCACGTATAGGCATAGGCGCGAGCTGCGCTGAGCTGCGGCGCGTGGGCTGGTCAGTGCGTCACGCGAGGAGAGCCGCGGGTACTTCCCTCGGCTGTGTCAAAGACGCGGGGACCCACCCGGCCCTTGCCCAGGGCCAGGGCGTCACGCGAAGAGAGCGCGCGGGTATACCTCCCTTATTTTTATGCTGTCAACGTCACAGACGGACACATTTCCGATGTCACTATTTGAATGAAAACTACAATGTTCGTGCATGTATACGACACATTTTGTAATTGACCATTTACAAAAAGAATCGTGCATGTACAAACTCCCACCTCACTCCCATTCTCTGCGCGTCATTCGAGGTGGAAACGGAGTGCTTGTACATTTACAATCTTGAATTGCAATTGTACGCTTCTTATCCATTGGAAATTTTCCTGTACCCGGTGCTACAAATCTTTGACAGTGTAATTGACTTTTATATTTGATCGTCGTGCGTTATTTAATATCATCGCCCTGATAGATAGATAGATAGATAGATAGATAGATAGATAGATAGATAGATAGATAGATAGATAGATAGATAGATAGATAGATAGATAGATAGATAG